ATATGCTGACTCTGTAAACCGCTTAGAGAGGGCTGAAAGCCCTATGAAGCGGTATATAAATCTAACTGCTATTGCTATTTCTCTATCTATCCACCCACCCATCCATCCATCCATCTATCTCATCCATCCATCTATTCATCCATCCATTCACCCACCCAGCTACCTACTTACCCATCTACATGGGGCAGCCCTTGGAGAGTGTTCGGAGACTTCAGCTGGTCCAGAATGCAGCCGTGAGCTGCACTGGCTGCCTATTGGTCTCCGGATACGCTTCAAGGTGCTATTTGTCGCTTATAAAGCCCTACATGGTATTGGACCTGGGTACTTGAGAGACCGCCTCCTGCCAATTACCTCCCAAAGACCCATTAGATCCCACAGATTAGGCCTCCTCCGAATTTCATCTGCCGGCCAATGTCGGCTGGCGACTACTTGGAGGAGGGCCTTCTGTGTGGCTGCTCCGGCCCTTTGGAACGAGCTCCCCGTGGAGATTCGGACCCTCGCCACCCTTCAGGCCTTCCGAACAGCCGTTAAGACCTGGCTGTCCCAGCAAGCCTGGGGTTGAGTTCCCCCCCCCCCTCGAATGTGCTGTGCTTGCTGTGTTTTTTTAATTGTTTGTATCACTGTCCTGTTTTTTGTCTTACTTTTCTCTATTTGTTCCCCTTCCCTTGGCTTTTCTTCAGCTGCCCTGAGTCCCTTCGGGGAATAGGGCGGCTTACAAATCGAATAAATACCAAATAATACCAAATCTATCTACCTGAATATCTTTCTCAATTTAACTGAATTTACAAATTGTATTTGACAGGACAATCCATTCTGATCACAGACTGCTCAGTTACCCACCACCCACCAAATGGTTGAATGCCAATAGAATTAAATACGTTGTGCAAACTTAAACAATATTATTTTTACATCCGTTCAAGGCTTATTTGGAATGCTGCACTAGACTCTATTCACCCCGTTGTGGGGGCTGGCAGCCAACTCAAACCGCAACGCAGTTTGTTGCCCCAACTGTATCAATATTTAAACAGATTTCTGGCATGTGGCAGAGGGTGGCTGGTTTCAGCTGCCTATTCATTTTCAATCATGAATCTTCTTTTTCAATAAAATAGGGGGCGAGGGGGGCAAATAATATTCTTTCCTTATTCCATAGAAGATTCTCAGTCATCCAGGTCATGGTTGGCCCGAAGGTGCTTTTTCTTTTTTAATTTTTTTTTTTCATATATACATTCACAATTATATGATCTCATAACTGTTATTAATAATATGTATTTATAACAATTTTTCCCTNCTTGGAATTAATTTGTTTTTCCGTTTCTGGGCAAAGGCAATCCTTGCCGCCGTAGTTATATGTAATATTAAATACTGAATTTCTTTTTTATATTTCACAGTCATTATTCCTAATTTTAAAAAAACTTCAGGTTTCCATTCTATTTTAACACCTGTTATTACCTCTAGCCACGTTTTGATCCTTTTTCAAAAACTTTTAACCTCCTCACAGGTCCACCATAAGTGGTAGTATGTTCCATGTATTGTTTCACTTTTCCAGAATTTTTGGGAGGTATTTGTTGAGATTTTAGCTAACCTTGTTGGTGCCAGGTGTCAATACATTTAGCTAACAAACAAATTTGAAAGAACTTGAAAAAAAGAAGCTAACATTATCTTGCCTTTGTTGTGAATTGCAAAACTTTCAGGAAACTTAGGAAAAAGTGGTAGTAACAATAGAAGTAGACCTTGGAAATTCCACTGCTAAGCAAGGTAGTTGTTAAGTGATCATGCCTGATTTTATGATCTTTTTGCTATTATTAGATGAATCATTGCAATTGCTAAGTGAATTATCTGGTTGTTAAAGAACCCAGGCTTCCTGTTCACTTTGATCCCTGGAAACCAACTGGGAAGATCACATGACCACAGGATGCTGCAAACATCATGAATTCATGCTGGTTGCCAAGTGCGGCAATTTTGATCATGTCACCATGAGAATACTGCATTGGTCGTAAGTGCGAGGAGAGATTGTAAGTCACATTTTTAGTGCTTCAGCTTTGAAAATTCAATAAATGAATAATTGTAAGTTGAGGTCTGTGATATGAGAAAACAAAATTGGTTTTGCAAAACTCCAGATGACCAGCAGAGGGCAGCAAACTGATACACTTTTCTGGATTTCTTTCCTGCCCTCTAGTGGTCAACTGGTTTTTCCCAGTTGCAATAGATGACTGTGAAAGCTGGACCGTAAGAAAGGCTGAGCGCCAAAGAATGGAGGCCTTTGAACTCTGGAGAAGACTCCTGCGAGTCCCTTGGACTGCAAGGCCATCCAA